TACGAAAACATACATGGTCTGTTCCCGTATTGCAAGAATCTACTATTTTTTACTACGATAACACTTTTTTCCTTTATGATATCGAAAAAAAATAGTAAAAACTCGTACATTCTTGCAGTACGGGAACAAACCAACATATTGACATGTTTTTAACAATTTACAAAAAAAGCGAAAAGTGAATGGAATTTCAGGTTTTCTTTTTAAAATCGAGTTGGGAATATGATATAGATTCATCCATGGCCTATAAATAAGGTCACCAAGATAGCAATCGAAATCGGAAAACATCTGTTTTTTCTCAAGTCTAATGTCAAAAATTTCGACTTTGTTTACGTTTTCATAATGGAAGTCAATTCACAATAATGCATTTTGACAGCAAACATGAGAGGTATCGATAATCAGCTGGTCTCCCTTGGTGACCTTATTTATAGGCCATGGATTCATCCATAAATCATGAATCATTCTTCTTACCAATGTTTAAAAATGCATCTCTAAACACAATATCATTTTTGTGTACACACTAGCATTTTGAGTGACAGTTTTTTTATCGATTGCTGACTTTCCAACAACCATGGCCTATAAATAAGGTCACCAAGATAGCAATCGAAATCGGAAAACAGCTGTTTTTTCTCAAGTCTAATGTCAAAAATTTCGACTTTGTTTACGTTTTCGTAATGGAAGTCAATTCACAATAATGCATTTTGACAGCAAACTTGAGAGGTATTGATTATCAGCTGGTCTCCCTGGGTGACCTTATTTATAGGCCATGTCAAACAAGCAAAATATGGGCAAGAGTGTAATTTAAAAGTGCTAGTGTGCACAACGCTAGTTTAAATTGATTGTTTGCACACATCTTCAATCTAAATCAACTGTCGTTGATGTCGATCCATGGTACAATTATAAAAGGTAACAGCAAATCCCAGTTGATTTGATTCCAACGTTATACTAGTGTCAATATGAATTTGACAAATTATGTTTTTAAAAATCACCCAACAGGAAAATTGGGAACGCATACAATTTAAAATTGTTCTTTATTAAATGTGCTCCTGTATTCAATTTACTCAATCTGCCTGCTGGGAAAGTTTGAGGAAGCAAATCTTTCTTCAAGGAATAACTTGCTATTCCCAGCATTTTCATATGTGTTACACATATATATGGCAATGGCTCAATTATAGGAAAGATGTGGAATAGATAGAAATATAAATTTGATAGATTTTCATTCATGTTTTTCAATTTTTATTTTGAGGATTCGAAAATATTTCATTTTCAAAATAAAAATAATTTGATGATAATTTGTTTGTTTATTTACATTTTTCTGTCAAATGAGTTGACACTATTAGAACTTACAAAAACAAATTTCCATGTGGTTGTTGTATCGTTTTTTGTACAACAACACTTGCTGTTACCTTCTATTATTATACCATGATGTCGATCATGGCACAATGAATGGATAGTCCATTTAGCGCAGCTGATGTCTTGATTAACTGTCAAAGTGGGTAATTTCTACTTGAATTCGATGTGTAGTGTTGCCAACCATTTGAAATATTGAAAAAATTTGACAGATAATCGAGACAAAAACAAAGATTTTTGTTGTGATACATCACCTTATTATTGTATCATGATGTCGATTAACTAATTAAGTAGATAACTGTAGAAACCTACTGTCTCACCGATAAAAACAAACAGACAAATAACTGGCAACTTGGCAACACTGTCTGAAGAAACCCCAAAGACCGAAAAAAACCTAACCTCCTAAATACATACATGCAAATAAAGAGAAGCAACTAAAAATATTTAGTAGAAGAAAAAAATAAGAAACTGTTTACGAAATTAACACAATTGTGCTTGCGGACAAAATGCCCAATAAAGATATAGAAACAAATGTAAATAAAGATACGACGCAGGAAAAGAACCCCGCTGTAGAAGATGTCAGTGCAAATCAAAAATCGGAAAACCTAAGCAATGATGGTGCAAATAAAAATTCGACGGGTATAAAAGAAACCGCTGCGGCCGCCGACAATGATACCGACAAGAAGAAACCTCCGGCAATTGTTAATTTGGCTGCAGATTTAAGTAAGTTGTGCATATATATTTAAGTAGAAATATTATGAGGTTGAGCGTGGATCAAAGGGCGTGGCTGAGATGATTTAATAGGAAAATATTTATTCTAAATTGGTATAGAAGAAGTTGGGCTACTTGTAAATAATTGTTTTTTTTCGGGCGGTATATAAAAATAAATTTTCTTGGTTGCGTGCCATACCCACCATCTTGTTTTTTTATCTAAGGGTGGTTATTTTCTTTTTTGTTGTTATCACACACACCCTCTTATGCAGGTAGCATAAGAACAAGTAAATTTCGATAATCTATAGGGTAAAATATTAAAAATTCTAAACCTATGGAACCTGTCCTTGATTTATTTAAAATTGTTTAAAAATGGGGGAAATTATTAAAAATTCCTCTCTCATGAACAAATATTTAAAAAACACACTTTAACGCTAATAGTCCTTACAAAAATGTTAATGACATCAACGAGAATAAAAAATAACGCTAATGACCCGGATAGACATTGAAAAACTATTTTATAAATCAATTAATTTTCCTTCTTTTTTGTAGATCTTCTAAACAGGCAAGACCTTTTGCAAGCTGTTTCCGATGCCGTATCTGGTCAAACACGTCAAACTAAATTTGCCTTTTGGTCCACACAACCAGTGCCTAAACTATACGAAGAGATAACAACAAATGAATGCATTGAACCCGATAAGGATATTTCCGAAATACGGCCGGATCCGTATGCCCTACCCGATGGTTTCAAATGGGATACATTGGATTTGAATAACAGCAATGACCTTACCGAATTGTATACTCTGCTCAATGAGAACTATGTCGAGGATGATGATGCAATGTTCCGTTTCGATTATCAACCGGAATTCATTAAATGGTCGCTGCAGTCGCCCGGCTGGAAACGTGACTGGCATTTGGGTGTGCGTGTTGTAAAATCAGGTCGTTTGGTTGGTTTCATCTCAGCCATCCCGAGCAATTTAAGAGCTTACGATAAGGTGATTAAAGTGGTGGAAATCAATTTCTTGTGTGTCCACAAGAAACTGCGTAGCAAACGTGTGGCCCCAGTATTAATTAGAGAAATCACCCGGCGTGTCAACCTGACTGGTATATTCCAGGCTGCCTACACTGCCGGTGTGGTTCTGCCCAAACCTGTGGCGACCTGTCGTTATTGGCATCGTTCATTGAATCCAAAGAAACTCATAGAGATTAAATTCTCCCATTTGGCAAGAAATATGACAATGCAACGTACAATCAAATTGTACAAATTACCCGATCAGCCAAAAACAAAAGGCTATCGTCGCATCGAACCCAAAGATATGGATAAAGCCCTCAAACTCTTTGATGAATATATGAAGAAATTCAGTCTGTGTCCCGTGTTTAGCAAGGAAGAATTCCGCCATTGGTTCACACCCAAGGAGGGCATCGTCGACTGTTTTATTGTGGAGGACGATAAGGGCAACATAACGGATCTAACCAGTTTCTATTGTTTGCCTTCGTCTGTGATGCACCACCCTGTACATAAAACCTTGCGTGGCGCCTATTCCTTTTATAATATATCAACAAAAACGCCTTGGCTGGAGCTAATCAACGATGCTCTTATCTCAGCCAAAAACATACAAATGGATGTCTATAATGCTCTCGACCTAATGGAGAACAATACATTCTTAAGGCCATTGAAGTTCGGTCCCGGCGATGGCAATTTGCAATACTATTTATATAATTGGCGGTGCCCCAGTATGAAACCTCAGGATGTGGCTTTGATACTAATGTAGAAACAGATGATTCCAAACAGATGATAACTGTCGTTTGGGTAACATGTCGTACTAAGAACTAAGAATACTACGCCCATGATGATGTATACATATGTATTTTTTTTTAATTAATTAGTTTCATAGTGCTGCCCAAAACACACACACACACAAAATGATCTACGTATATACAATCCTTTTTGCCTGTAACTGTACTTTACGCTAATATTTTTCTTTTAATTTAGTTTTGAATTCAACTATAACTATAAAAAAAAAACAAACATACAACAACTACATACATGTTCATACATATGTATGTATGATTTAGAATATATAAATGCCATCAAATATATAGTGTTATTCAATTGTTTACAATTTAATTTTGTAATAGTTTTATATCGAATGATCACCATCATCATCCACCAAATCATGTTTCTATTGGTTTCATTCAATCTTAAAAACGATCACACAGAAAAAATCAAAATCAATCAAACATAGATGATTTGATAAAAATGTTTCTTTTTATAGATTTGTTGAAATCACATCGAACAATGTCAAGACACAGATTTAAATCTTTTTTTTTCTAATAAAACGAACACAACAAATTGTTCATATAAATCTTGGTTATATTATTTGTAGAGATTAACCTCCTGAATGTCTGTCTGCTCAAAGAAGGAAGGGAAATGTGCTGTCAGAAACGCTCAAGACGAATAGTACGTATCCTATAAGGATTTTTAAACTATTTTCCAAAGAAATTGGATTTTTAAATTATTTTTCAAAGAACCAAAATATGGTGGGTTTTAAAGTATTAGCATGTAATTTGTTTTTTTTTTTAAGTCTAACAACGCTATGAAAGTGGATTTCTTAAATATTTTCCCCAAAGACCACCCGACCAAAATTTTACTCCAAAGGCTTTTAAGGCCAATAAAGGAGGATTTTTTTAAATTTATCGATTGGAACGCATCAACATAAAATCTGAAATTTAACAATATAAATATAAAATTTATTTTGAATAAATTACACGTACAACGGTTCTATAATATCTTGCTCCTGATTGTTGCTTTTAACATTTTGCAATTTTTCTTACACATAACACAAATTAACAATTGAAATCAAACATAGAACTCTAAATGAGCTACACAAATGACAAGAATCAAAATCGGGACAAGTAAATATTATTGTTGATTTTTTTTTAATCGAATTCTTATTACATACGCATTTTTACTATAACACTATTGGCCAGTCGTACAACACGATTAAAATCAGTCTTTGAATGGGCCCGCCAAAATTTACAGCGTGCCCACATAACGGCTGGATAATTGGGACTTGAAATGCCATGGAATATGCGGGCCACATTACGACCAGTGAAATTATTTTCAGGATACATATTGATCAGGGCTATGACATCAGATTCAATGTCACCATCGGAGACATTTGATTCCTAACACGAAAAATAACATGAAATTAAAATAAAATCACTTTTTAAAATACAGTAAAAACCTACCTCGACTTCCAATTTCAAATCTTTGGGATAATCGTTGCGGAAATAATCACGTATAATTGCCTTCAATTGATCCGATCGATCGTGTGAAAAGTTTTCACTACAACAAGGCACATGACTATTATAGGCCACCGAGGATAAGCCTTGAAACACATATTGCAGCTGCGAAAAAAGGAAAATAAAAAATTGGCTTTAAGTTGGAATTCATGACACCAGGTATATCCTCACCTGTATCAGTTGAGTCTTTTCTTGTTTCACGCATCTCGTATATAAGATATCCAAAGCATCATCGATTTCTTCGATTGTAAAATCACCAGGTGCCTTTAAACGGAAACCCAAATCATAGAAACTGACAGTTATGGGAGATCGCTTGGGGTAGCCATTTACTAAGGAAATATGGGCAAGCAAATTCAAATAAATATTGATTTTTATGCACTAAAGTAGAGAATAGTTCTTTAAAGACCTTGACATACCTTGCACCCATTCCAAATTCTTCAATTGATATTTAACAACACCACTATTCCAACCAATTGCCGCTGCTATATCCACCACCGAAAATTCAATAATATTGGCATCTTCTTTAAAGCTACCGTTTTTTATTTCCAAGGCAATGGCCATAGCCAGTGGTGGGCACTCTTTGGCAGCATGTCTGTCAGATCGAAAAAAAGTAGTTTAGGAATTTATATATAAGACAAACAATTCCACTCACTTTAAATATTTCGGACCACCATAGGAAATAATTTTCGCTTTAATATAGGCATTGCTCAGTACATTCATACACCAGCGATTATCCAATTCCATGTAACACAATAACGTTGATATATTTTCTGCAGGAATATCTAATGCTTCAACGGTCTGATCAATGGAAAATCCAATTTCATGGCCAGGGCATATGTGTTGGCGGGCTTTCGGTATTTCAACATCTGTTTCACCGTGCATATTACCAAAATTCGATGCATCAACATTTGAGGCATCAGCGGCGGAACGAGATTCTTTTGATGATGACGTTAAAGGTTTTATTGGTACTCCACTGTAAAATGAAAATATTAAAAAAATTGTTTCAGATCCTCTTATTTTACTCACTCTTTTAAATTTTTATCACACGAACATGGCACAAATATCCTTTGCAATAATTTACGTATAACATGACGATCGAGCGAATTTGCATAGATGTGCCTCTTCAATTCATTCTTATCACCGCCGTTGGCATCCAAAAACAAATGACAATGGGCCTCTTTATTGTCGCGACCAGCACGACCCACTTCCTGAACATAACTTTCGAAATTTCTTGGCATATTGTAATGGATGACAGCACGAATGTCGGGCTTATTGATACCCATACCAAAGGCAATGGTGGCCACCACAATGCGCAGTTCATTGTTCATGAAGGCATTTTGTATGGTACGCCTTCGCGACGCAGCCATACCGGCATGATATGGTTCAGCATGCCAATTTATGCGTTTGCGTTTATTTTTCTTTTCCGGCTCAGGCGCTTTACGATCCTGCATACAGGTACGCAAGAAACCAGCAACACGTTCGCACTCATCCCGCCGAGTACAATAGACAATAATCGATTGGCAACTTTCGAAACGTTTACTCAACAACAATTGCAGTAGGGCTGTATCACGATTTTCATCTTTCGACACGGAAAGGATCAAATTATCGGGCAGTGGAATATCACTAATAATGCCCTTCTCTCCGTCCAATATACCCAAGTGATTGATAATACTTAACCGGGTGGGTAGCGTGGCAGTGGCTGTCAAACCCAAGACACACTTGACACCCAAATTCTTTTTCAAAACTTTACAAATCATCAAATAGCTGGGACGGAAATTATGACTCCATTGGGATACGCAATGAGCTTCGTCAATACAGGCGAATGCAATGGGTGGTAGCTGGCGTAGAATTGAACCAAAGCCAGTCGATCTTTCACCGGACACCACGGCTTCGGGGGACACAAGTAGAACGTCGATTTCTCCATCGGCTATAAGTTGCATAATTTTCATTCTCTGCTGCGGTGTTTGGTTGGTGTGCAAACAATGGGCCCTCAAGAAATGTGGTACACCCGTCACCTGATCCTCCATCAAGGACACCAACGGTGAAATAACCAAGGTAATGGCTTTTCTTTCTTTGGAAAATATATAGGCTGGTAGTTGATAACACAGCGATTTACCACTGCCCGTGGACAAGGTGACCAATGTAGACATTCCCGAAAGAATACGCATAACAGCACGATCTTGTCCCTTGCGAAAGTTGGTATGACCAAACATGCGTAATGCTTCCAGGACTTCGGGAGTGACATCTTTAACACTACCATCTGGATTGAGATCATATATGGGACTGACATCACCAATTCTAGACGGTGCAATAGTTGCATTGCCCGAATCTGTTGTGTCATTCACATCCAAACCGGCAGCCTTAAGAAATGATTCGGGAATTTTATGGCCAACATAGTTTTTGATTGGTGAGACCGTTTTTTCATTTGAATTAATGGCGTTGTCAATGTCAAAGCCATCTAATTCATCATCTGTTTCCATAAGAACATCTTCATCGGCGCCATCATCATCTTCATTCTTCTTGTCGTCGTCGCCGTCATCGTCATCTTCGCTGTTATCATCATCAGAGGGATAACCATCATTCTGAAAATAAGTGGGTGATTATTGTTCTGTTTTATAATTAAAAATATAAATAAAAAATATACATAAATAAAATATTTTTCAAAGGCAATCGGGACCACAAATATAGCGTGATGTTCAGGTTTATCAGAGCCAATAGCGTAGGACTTTTTAAAAGTATATTTTCCGAAGACTACCATAACCATAATTGTGGATTTTTTACTATCAAGGATTTTTTTACTAAAAAAACTTATACTTTTTATATGTTCCTCATGGAATATATGGGCCATACGAGTGGGTTTTCAATATATTTAGATATAATGTGAACCGTAAAAAACATTTTTCAATAAACATGTATCCTTTTTAGGGGACCCCCCCATTCTCGGTGTCAATTTTTTTTTTATTTAATTCGATTCTACACTAATTATCTCAAGAACTCTTGAAGATATAGCCGATTTATTGTGTCAGCATCAAGTGACGGCTAAAGGGCTTCTCAAACTTTAAACGCGTTTTTCTCTTTCGCGAATGGCGGGCACGATAACTCAAAAACTAAAACGGCATTTACATTAGAACTTTTTAACGGGTTAACATACTTTATGAGGATTTATTTGACATATATTCAAAGGAATTGAAAATTTAAACCCACTGGGTTGACCTTAATCCGGTTCAATTTAAACGGCCTTTAATAACCCAATCGATTCCAAATTTTTACACGTTTCTCTGTGAGTGTATAGCTATCGTATGAACTAGGATAAAGCCAATCGGTGAATATCTTCCTTATTTTTTAACTTGGTTTTTGGTTAAAAATCGGCGATTTTCCAAAAATATTTTTTTAAAGGTCCGCCATTTTGTTAATTTTAGAGCGAAGTCAATAATCCTAGTTCATACGAGAGCCAGACATGTACTCTTTCTAACACCGTTGGAATTTTCGGATTTCGATGTTCCAGTGAAGAGTTATCATGCCCGCCATCAAAAATAAGGACTTTTCTTTAATTACAAAAAACAACAACAAAGCAATAACAAAATTTTTTTGTAAATTATTTTTCTTCTCTTTTAAATCTTCAAATATATACTATGTGCAAAGTTACAAACCTTAATAAGCATTGGTATTGATTTACCAGCCCATTGAAAATCTTGAAAAATTAAAATCGAGAATGGATGGGGTTCCCTTAAACATGGATTTCAACTGACTATAAATTCTATAAGTCCGGCTTTTTGACATATTTCTTATCAAGTAAAATTTTGGCAATAGACATTGGCTTTTAAAATATTTGTCTCCTAGAACTATCTGGACACTAAGCATGGATAATTTTCATATTTTTCAAAGACTATCTGAGCAATATGCCTATATTTCTAATATATTTGGCCAATAAAGGTAAATTTTTGCAATATTTGCTTAGAAAGACTTTCTTTTTATCTGGCTTTATGCAGTCAGAGCTATAGACTGTTCCACTTACCTCATTATCATCATTCAGACCATCATCTTTATAAATGGCCGCATTAGCTGCCTGTGGCAATTTCGATATATTACGACTATGTACCGCCAATGCCGATTGACTGGCCATACGTTCCGCTTCTTCCAAAGTTGGAAATGGTGATGGATCTTCCTCCAGTTGTGCCGTCAACGGCAGCAGCGAATCTCCTTTGACTTTACAATTTTGAGCGAAGTGACCGGCTTGACCACAACTAAAACATTTCAATGTGCCACCATCGCAACCACCCATATCCATATCGGGGCCGGTTAATGCCGCCACACGCTTCTTATTCTTCCACAGTTTTTTCTTATATTTCGAATAGTTTACGGTCTTCTTGCCCCGAACAAATGTCTTCTTCTGTATATTAATTGTGACAAAGTTTTCATTTAGTTTGCCGCTGGCAATCTTCTCTTCCAATTTTCGTCTGGCAGCTGCTCTCTTTTCATCGGCCACAGTTACTGGTATGGGCTTGTTTGTGGCACCACCCAGCGGAACCATTTTATTAATATATTCTTGCGCCAAATGATCGGCCTTATCCAAATCGGTTTGTTTGATGCGTGGCACCGAGGTTATATCCCCACTCTCCAAGGCAAGAGCATATTTCAAATCTACCGGATCAAGGGGTGTTTCTTCTTTTTCTTCGTCCTCTTGTGCAACTTTTGCGACGGCCTTCTTCGATCCCCTAGTTGCCTTTGGTGCTGATGCCGCAGCTTTAGCCTTTGGCTTGGGCTTCTCTTTTGGTGAGGCCTTTTTAGGCTTCGTGGCAGCGTTTGTCTTTCGTTTAGCCACGGCACGTTTTCGTTTATTGATTTTTGGTTGTTTATATTCTTCATCCTCATCAGAAGCAGCATCAAAATCTTCACCTTCATCGTTGAAATTTTCCAACGAATTCTCGGGAGGTTTAATTTCATCTTTTACAACATTTGGGATTTCTTCCACAGGTTTAGCCTCCGTTTTTGGAGACGTTGATGGGACAATTCTTCTGCGTTTTACAATGTGGCGATATTCTGGAGGTTCAATTTCTTCTTCACTGTCGCCGACAACAGAATCTGAGTCCGAATCACTGTTAGGTTTTTTGACAACTTTCTTGGGTTTCTCCACGGGCATTTCTTGAAAATGAGATGTTTCACCGACACCATTGTGACCAGTTGTATTTTCTGCTGGCACTTCTGCATCCTCCAAATTTGGTTTAGCCGTATCGTTGAGATTATCGTCCGTAGTCGTCGCAGTAGTTGTTGTTGTTTGAAATTTACTAACATCAATATTGGATAAACCATAAATACTTTTTCTGGGAGGAGTTGACACATTGTTGTTTGGTTCAATCTTTACGCTATTCCTAATTGGTTTACGGGCAATGCCATTTTGTTGGGCATTCCTCTCCAACCAGCCTTCATCGACCTGCGTTTTAATACTGTCCCTATATTTATCCACCGCCAATAGGGGATTGGCATTTATATTATTCTGGATTTGTTGTTCTTTGGCCTTCTGCAGCAGAATTGTCTCCAAATCAGGCAGAACATCCTTTGTGGAATTTAAAGTATCACTTAATGTATTGTTGTTGTTATTGCTTCTAAGTGAACTATCAAGATTTGATTTGGAAACAGATTTTCTAGGATTTCTCTTGGAAAATGATGAATTGTTAAAAAGCTTGGCGCTCAAATTCGGTTTAAGGCTTCGCCGGGGTGTATCTTTCTTGTCCACAACCTCCGTCGTTTGTTTCATTGACACCTTAGCTCCCCATGCTTTTTTGTTTATATCCAGTTCTTCGACAGCTTCAAATTCCTTTAGGACACGGGCTTCAGTAAATACTGCAGCTCCATTGGGTATTTCTTGAACATTCGAGAAACCACCATTGCAGCTGTCATCGTGAACTCCATTTGGTGCATCAACTATAGCACTGATATCCAATGGTAATTTGGGTCCACCATTGATGCTTTCCTCTGCTAGACTGCAATCCAGATCCCCATTGGTCTGGGACATCTGTGACATTTCCAAAACATCGAAACCATCATCGGACAAAACATCGTTTAGGGTGTCTTCCAAAAACGATGTTTTCAGCTTGTAATACATCTTATAAGAATCTCGTATCTCTTGAGAGGCTTCTCTAATGTCATACTGAAAAATAAATAATACAAAAAAATATATATTATTAATGTTCCGAAATAATGTCCGAAATTCATAACATACCTTTGAGGGAACACGTCCATATTTTTTCTTGAAATCTTTTTCCCACAACTTTACTCTTAACTTGTATTTTTGATATTTTTGTTTAAAAGCAGGATCATCCATTTTTTAGTTTTCTATCAAAGCATAATCAAGAAAGTGACGATCATCCGATCAGTTCAGTTCATTTGGGACTTTTGCGTCTGGTCCACTGGGGTCTTTGCGTCGGATTATGTGAGGAAATTCCGCCAAAACAAATGCTTCTTCTTGTAAGTACAAAACAGTGTTAATGCCAAGTAAATTGATAAACTTTGCACTAACTTAACTCGTCACTCTGTTCCCGTACTGCAAAAATCTATTAGATTCTACTATTTCTTTCGATATCATAAAGGAAAATTCATTATTAGTCTGCTCCCGTACTGCAAGAATATACTAAATTTTACTATATTTCCATTATTATCAAAAAGGAAAATTCGTTATCGTAGTAAAAAGTAGTATATTCTTGCAGTACGAGAACATACCATACCATATGGGAACAGACCAAATATGTTCAGACTACAACATTTTTTTGCATAATGAATGGATGGATGAATGACACTTTTAAGGATTCGATATCCAAATTGTTTCGCATGTAACAGTTGGAACATGGAGGATTTCCGGAAACCAGTCCAAAAAAAGCTCTGTGGACTCTGCTAAAAACACAATCTTTTTTAAAATTAAAAATAAAAAAAAAAATACACGACGCGCTCGCACTGCCTGAGGACACGGACAGAGTAGCCACCTCAGATAAATAGAGCAAAAAATATACTGTATAATACTAATACTCTTTTTAAAATATTTAACCTTTTGTGCCCTGAATTTTTTTCCGTTATCATAGAACAATTTACTGTTCACACATCATGGTATAATAATAAAAGGTAACAGCAAGTGTTGTACAAAAAACGATACAACAACCACATGGAAATTTGTTGTTGTAAGTTCTACTAGTGTCAACTCATTTGACAGAAAAATGTAAACAAACAAATTATCATCAAATTATTTTTATTTTGAAAATGAAATATTTTCGAATCCTCAAAATAAAAATTGAAAAACATGAATGAAAATCAATCAAATTTATATTTCTATCGCTTCCACATCTTTCCTTTAATTGATCCATTGCCATATATATGTGTAACACATATGAAAATTCTGGGAATAGAGAGTTAATCCTTCAAGAAAGATTTGCTTCCTCAAAATTTCCCAGCAGGCAGATTGAGTAAATTGAATACGGGAGCATATTAATAAAGAACAATTTCAGTTGTATGCGTTCCCAATTTTCCTGTTGGGTGATTTTTAAAAACACAATTTGTCAAATTCATATTGACACTAGTACTACGTTGGAATCAAATCAGCTGGGATTTGCAGTTATCTTTTATAATTGTACCACGTTCACACATGAACATATGAACAAAATTTGACATCGTTATATCCTTGCATTCGGATGATACAGTACAAAATTTCTGAAAAATAAAAGTCCAATCTCAAGAAATACAAATGCAAAATAGACGGAAAAATTATTTTAAATCATTCTCTATATTCTTTTTTACAAAAATCAGAAATAACTCCGAAATTCGTACAATGCGAGTACGAAGCTATTTAATTAATTTGGACTGTATATACAAATTAGTACTGTACACAATATGCCCACTTCTCCATATTAAAAAGATCACAACTTTACCAAAAATTGATTTTTTTAGATTTTTCTTTTGATATATGTCGTCCATAATCAGGACTTGACATATAAAATCAAAGAAGATTGGGTCACAAAGGGTTAAAGCCAAATGGAATAGTTGATGCATTATTTTTTAATAATTTGGTGATAAAACACTCACCAGAGAAATGACGCAATAGAAACTATTCGTTTTAATAATGTTATAAAGAAATAAAAATATATGTATTGTACAGTACATTTATATAATCCATATAACATAGGCCCTTCTTTTATAAATAACGATAATCAACGATATTATATTTGCCCTCCCACAAAATAGCAACTCCCCAAACCATTTCAATCGTTGTTTTCTTCAATACTCAAATATGCAGTGCGTATTACAGTTTTTTATTACATAAATATCGATATATCGTTGCATTCTGAAAATAGCAAGGACTCAATTCATTCCATACAGTTGTTTTGTCTACTGTATTACATAACATAGGTCTTGGTCTCCACTACACATTTTAGAAGAGTACACACTATCAATTTGGACTTTCAGCTTTTTTGTTATCGATTATTGTAGCGTTGTACACACTATCGCTTTTAAATGACGGTTTGCCGGAAATTTCGTCTGTTTGATCCTGTTCAAATTAGAGAAGTATCTCAAGAGATATGAGATTTTTTTACAAGCTGAAAATATTGTTTTTGGTAGGTAATCTCAAAAATTTGGACAATAAACTTTTTTGGATTAATAAACATTTATTCTAATAAAGTATGGGAACAGAACATAAACGAACGAATATAACTAGATTAACGAATAATTATCGTCCACATGCAGTAATCGTTTTATAGTTTGTAACACCACGAGTAATCATTTTACATTGGATAGCTCGTTCCGAACGTTCATTTTATTGAACACAACTTTAGCCATATCGTTTGGAGTTCAATTCAATATTAAATTGGAATTCGTGGCGGACGGACGCGTTCTAACTATACAGTTGCTGATAAACATAATACAAAAGAAGAAACGACGAAAGGTATTAAAAAAAATATTCGAGAAAAATAAATAGTTTACAAAATAGATATATACACATGTAAAAGAAACCGCAAAATTGTATTGTTGTGTTATAAGAAAAAAACAAATGCTGATGGATGTGTAAAAGAAAAACAAAGAAACGAAATATGAAATAAAAATTATCCGTTTAGTGTCAAATAAGTAGAAAAAAAGCACCAAAGTATATAGAAAAAACGCCAGTTGGTAAACAACACTCTTCACAAAATATAAATAAGAAAATAAAGGTAAATATGTGAGTGAATTAACAATGGATAATTAGCAAATGCAAAGCGAATTGTAATGAAATTATCATCAGGATATAGCTGCCTGATTCCTTTTTTGTGTATTATTTTTTCACTTCATTTTTTTTCGTTGGAGTTGGAATGGAGGTTAATTACCTTTAGCTTACAAAAGTTCTGGACGATTTACTTGTGTCAGGTATTCCTCTCATGTGCAAAGAAAATGAGAGATTTTGTTGTGTTCTGTTGTTGTTGTATATACTACATACATACCTTGTTGTTTTGCCATATGAACAGTGACTGTTGTTTTTGCACTCGGTACTATGAAGATGATGTATATCGCATGTGTGTGGTTTTTTTAATTTAATAACTTTATTTTTTTTTGTTTTACCAAAGAAAAAAATCAATCCACTGGGAAGACCACTCCCCACCATTTTTATTGTTGTTGGAAAACCATTTCTTGAGATTTTTAAGTCATATCGCATTCTCATTGTCAGCAAGCATTCTCTATAACGTCCCCCTCTGTCACCCCCCAACAGGTACATACCCGTCGTTGTTCTCTTTTCTCATCGTTGACATCGTTACAACATTTCTCTTGTCCATACGAATGAACAGCTGATTGGCATTGTGAATTCAATCAGTGTGTATGTATGTATGTATGAATACATACATATGTACACACGTTGCTGGCTGCATTGATTGACCATGCACATATCGAAGCAAGTAGGTCGTTTGCATTTGTTAATAGAAAACCGTTAAATGTTATCATTTTTTATTTATTTTTATTAAATAATTTAGATTTCAACCCTAGCTAGCAATACAAACAAGAAATAAAAACATGTCATTGTTTAATAATTTGGAGGTAACAAAGAACAAAATGATGATGAAGAGTTTTGTCGATTAATTGAATGTTAATTATTGGGTGGGTATATTGTGATTGTCTCCCAACGTAGTTACAGAGTAATTTTGCTATGTCAGTATTCTACCACTATTATATTACGGTCTCTATAATCCTGTTACGGTCTAGAGATATTTACACAGGTAGACAAAAAACTCCAGTGTCCAGTCTGTTTTAAAGAACCATTTTTTTTGCCAACGATGCTGGCTATCAAGAAAACAACCGAACATCTGACCAGGAAGGAGGAAATTAGAAACCATATGATGGTCGGTTATGTCACGTGCATATCAATATAACCTTCTGTCAAAATAGGTATGGAAATCATTACAAGTTACTATAAGATCAGATTCTCTTACCGTCAACTTTGCAGGTATTCCATTCTTCGTAGTAGAAACATCGACTGTTCGCCTGATCTGAGACCATTATTACAAATTATCTAGAATAGATTCGTCCGTCATCCATAGTTTTGGCGCTCGAGTATTACTTAACCGAATGTAGGCTCTGAAACATATGTAACCAGTAAGGAAAGTAGTAAAGTCGGACTGAGCCGACTATTTGATACCCTTCACTGCTTTGGCGCTAATTCTGAAAAGTGAGTTTTTCAGCAGAAGCTCTCAAAGTATGGAAGTATCTTAAATCTTACGTGCCATGCTAAGTACATTTTTGGTTATAACTTTGGTTTGGATGATTACCAAAATTTCAGAGAATTTAAATTAAGGACCGTATTATCTAAAAACTTAAAGAACTTTAAAACATGCTAAGTCGACTTAGCATACTATGGTTCGGAGGCGTCGATATGTATCCTAACCGACGTCGCCTTTTCGAAGGAACATTGACTTAAAATTAACGAACTTTGATATGTGATATTTATCTGTATGTAAACGGACTAACATTAACCCTACACATGTCATTCTGCAACCTATGGTAAATTTTGAAAATCGATTTAATGCAAACTTGACACACGCTATTTGGTATGATGCACCGTTTAAAATTTAATCTCAATCAGACACCAGACACTATTTGGTGTACAATCATCATGAATAGGTCGAAATTAGATAGTTATATTTAACCTGAACTGATTTCAAGGAATCTTGATAGAGATTAATTTATATTAACTTCAGTACGTTGTGTCGATCGGCCTAGATATGGATCTTTAGTGCTCCATTTAAATCGGGCGAAAATATATATGGGAGCTATATCTAAATCGGAACCGATTTTCACGAAACTTTGCACACATCATTTTTGACTTAATTCAGAACGCTATGTCAAAATTCGTTCAAATCGAGTGATATATAGGGACATTGTTGCACCATTTACATAAAATCGGGCGAAACTATATATGGAATCTATATCTAAATCTGAACCGATTTTCACGAAAATTAGCACATATTATTCTTGACTTAATTTAGTACGCTATGCCATATGGGAACCATGGGTCTATCTCGGTTCCTTTTGCCTGTCACCACAGTGTGGTGAAGGGTATAAAAATGAGAAAATTGAAGTGTATTAAAAATGTTGGTCTAAATTATTTCTTCGTCAGAGTCATCTGAAGGAGTTAAGAAATGCATAATCGTGTTGAGAGCATTGATAGTTCCTGTCAAGTTGCTGTCTATATACTTTACAGTAATGTCCGAAAACAAAAAGAAAAAAAGATTATTTCCACTTTTTCCCAAACCAGTCGGGTACACCATCTTTTGAAAATTTTAGGGGCAAATGTATGATTGCAGATCGACAAGAATCCAGTGCCCTGACATCTTTGCAAAAAGGTCTTTCTGTTATACATATTTTTTATTTTCAAAAATGTCACTCTGATCGCGAATAACCACAAAGAGTTTGATATTGACACTGGAAGGAAGCTTCTTATTTTCTGCTAAATAAATAAGTATTAAACCGATTAACCTATTTTCTTCAAGTTTTGTTTGCTTGGTTAAGGAAAATAAAAAACTTTATTTGCTTCCACAAATAGAAACCGGTTTCCAAATAGGCATTGGCTGACCGATAAGAAGACGTTACAAAAATGTGATATAAATCCTCATTATCGTGTTAATGATGACATTCTTTTAACTCAGACCCATATACACACGTTACTAATAGGGAGTTGTTTGTTTATTTAGCAATTTTTGTTTGGTATTTCTGCACGGGTACGATTGTATTGTTTTTTTATTTGTTATTTTGTAATTACTCAGGTAAAGTCAAGAAATCTTGTTTAACTACTTGTGTGGCGGGAGGCGGAGGAATGACATTGTCTGCATCATTGATATCATGATTCATATTTCGTTTTTCGCTTTTTCCAGTGAATTGGGTACTTTCCGCCTTGTTTGAATATTTAACAATAATTATTTTGTTTTTATTCTCTTAGAAGGAAGACAAGAAAGATACGAGTCTCTGAGTTTTAGGAGAATGTCCTAATTCAATTTTTTTTTGTTGTTCTTCTCCGGAAGTCGAACTGTATTGGAATTGATGTTTGTGTTTTTTTTCAATACGTATGTATGTAGATATTGCCGATGAATCATGTATTGCATTATTCTATTTAACTGGAATTAATGAAAATTGATCGACTGTGTTTTTATTTGTGTGGAGTGTTTATTTGTTTAACTACATGTGTGGCGGGAGGCGGAGGAATGACATTGTCTGCCGCCGAATGCATCATTGATATCATGATTCATATTTCGTTTTTCGCTTTTTCCAGTGAATTGGGTACTTTCCGCATTGTTTGAATATTTAACAATAATTATTTTGTTTTTATTCTCTTAGAAGGAAGACAAGAAAGATACGAGTCTCTGAGTTTTAGGAGAATGTCCTAATTCAATTTTTTTTTGTTGTTCTTCTCCGGAAGTCGAACTGTATTGGAATTGATGTTTGTGTTTTTTTTTTAATACGTATGTATGTAGATATTGCCGATGAATCATGTATTGCATTATTCTATTTAACTGGAATTAATGAAAATTGATCGACTGTGTTTTTATTTGTGTGGAGTGTTTATTTTTATATTGAAATACAGAGTTTGTAATGAAGTGCTAGTTGGCGGCATATTGAAATGGATTGGCTGGAAATATAAAGATTAAAATGCCAGTGTTTTTGGAACTTTTAGAATTTTAGAAAGGAGCGCGGGATTAAATTTAATTTCTAAACTTGTCCTAGTTGCCATAAGAACTCTTTCATCACTTTGGAAACTTTAATATGTTGATTGAAATGGGTACAACTATCGTAATGTAATTATTTGGCTGAAACAGCTTTTGAATTACTTTGTATGAAATAAAACAAAAGCAAATAAAACATCATCCTTTTACTGACAAATTCATTTCTTCATCTTATTTTTTTAACAAATTATTGCCTTTCCTTCAGTAGGAATTGATTTTCAACATTTGATTTAAAATTCATTACTTCATTTACCTACCAGCCGATATTGTTATTAAAAAAAACATATAATTGAAATGTGGTTTTGTACATATGTATGTGTACATATAAATACCTATCTACATTATATATACAAATTATATATTGTAAAAAACACTACAATCACAAAAAAACTAAAATGATGAGGTGGTGGGTTAATTTTATATTGACCATAATATAAAATATTCACATCACGCATTAACGGCTTAAAAATGTTTTGTTGAAATATTTTTGTTGGGACGACGAGACAACAACAGCAACAACAATACCAGTAGTTAATAAAACAGCTCGTACTGAATATTTGCATTATTGTAGTAAGTTTTTTTTGTCATTTGCAATAAAATTATACGATTGATTTTATAACCTCAAAATTGTGCTGTGAAGCAAACGTACAGCAATAACTTCCCTCTTACTTATGTGGACATAAATTACAAAAAAAATATAATGCCATAATTACATAAAAAGTAAGAATGATTTGAAATCAACCGATAACTTTTGTCAGTGGCGTATTATATTTTCATTAAATATTATAAAATATATGGGGATATCTTCCGAACTTTGATGTGTTAACAATAAGGCTTACATTTAGGCCAATTTTTATAATGGGGGGTTTTCCAAACTCCAGATTATTTGTGACAAAAATGTGTAATACCCTGTTAGAATTTTAATTGACAGCTGTGATTAAAATGGAAAACATAAAATGCGATCCCGAAATATTCTACAGATTTCAAAATGTGTTTGATAAATATTTAAACGCGAGTTTTCGATTTCCAACAAACAAACAAAGTTGATGAAGTTCTCTTGGTAACAATTCTGTATACATACAATATTTCCTCAATTGGTAATACTTTTCAAATTTATGAAGGAGTAATCGAAAATAAATTCCATTATTCGAAATTGTTTTGCCAATGGTTCTGGAACAGAGCATATATAAATTTAATAATTTAATATGTATACCCTTCATATAATCGTTTGTAATTGAGATAGACCCATGGTACCTTTTGAGAATTTGCATAAAATCACTTTCTGAGTCGATTTATGCATGTCCGTCCGTCCATGTATTTTTGTGAACAATGGTCGCATTTATTATCCGATTCGGATGAAATTTGGCACATGTCACTTATTTGACCCAAGGACAAACCCTATTGAAATTGGAAAAAATCCGTTCAGATTTATATATAACTTCCATATATAGTTTCGTCTGATTTTAGGTAAATGGTGCACTAAACTCCCAATATTAGTCCGATTGAGACAAAATTTTGCACAGAGTACCGAATTAGGTCTAGATTGACGTCCTTAAAATTTTGTTGAAATCAGTTCCGATTTAGACATAGCACCTATATATAGTTTCGTCCGATTTTAGGTAAATCGAGCACCATACTGCCAATATTTGTCCGATTGAGAAAGAATTTTGCACAGAGTACTGAATTAGGTCTAGATTGATGTATGCCAAGTTTGATTGAAATCGGTTCAGATTTAAATATAGCTCCCATATGTAGTTTTCTCCGAATTTATGTAAATGGTGCACCAAACTTCCAATATTGGTCCGATTGAGACAAAATTTTGCACATGGTACTGAATTAGGTCTAGATTGACGTCCGTGAAGTTTTTTTTGAAATCGGTAAAGATTTAGATATAGCTCTCATATATATTTTCCTCCCATTGGAGCACAGCGTACTGAATTAGGTCAGGATTGATATATGCCAAGATTGGTTGAAGTCGGTTCAGATTTAGATATAGCACCCATATATAGATTCGTCCGATTTTATGTAAATGGAACACCATACTGCCAATATTGGTCCGATTGAGACAAAATTTTACACAGAGTACTGAATTAGCTCTAGATTGACGCCCTTGAAGTTTTGTTGAAATCGGTTCAGATTTAGATATAGCTCCCATATATATTTCCGTCCGATTAGAGCACCATATTGTCAATATTTCTTCGATTGAGAAAGAAAGATGATATGTATATTCCATCTAAAGGATATTGTACATATGAGTATCTCTTGTATGTACCCAAAGTGGTGAAGGGTATCAAATTGTCGATCCTGTCCGACTTTTGAACTTTCCTAACTGGTTTTATTTGTTATTCGATTTTTTTAATTTTAACACTCTTTACCTAGTAACAATTTTAAAAATGATCTTAATTGGACATTGACACATATGTTAAATCATATCTTATAGTTTTTTTTTGTCAGAAAGGTGATAAGATTTTTACAAAAAACAAAACCTTTTTTATTTTTAATAGAGACTGAAACTTCACATAAATACCTTGTCAAGATAACAACGATTTCCATACCGATGACAGTTTGTCAATGAATCCGAAATGTCTTTATGTGCAAATAGATTTGTTCTATTTATTAATGAGTGTCTGTCTATTTTGACTGACTGTTGTTATAGCCAATGGTCAAGGGGTTTTGTGTGAGGATTTATTAAACATTGAAGTAAATTAAAAAAAAAATATATATGAAGGTTTAATTTTTTTTTTATTTTTAGATGTTGTTGAAATGTTTTGATGTTGCTACCATCCTTCGTACAAATGTGAAATTATACCCATTCCATAACACAAAAAATATTTCGATGTACTTTTATTTTTTCGAGATAACATTTTAAGTACCTATTTCGAACTCAAGCATGTTGAACAAAGTTTTGTTGTGTTTTAATTTCAATAAATTATATGTTGTTTTTTTTTAATTCGTTTAATTCATTGTTAATTTAGAAAACGTAATAATGTCTCAAAATTGTGCAAAACAAATTATTCTTTCCAATAGCCCCTCTCACCTCCCCCTCAATTTCAAATATATTGCTCTCCATACACCATACGCCATACAAACAAATTGTCTATTTAAGTTTAAGGTTATTGATCGAATTTTGCATTCATTATTTGATGAAATCCAGTGTCGTCGCCGTCATCGATCTAACATGGCATGGCTGACTGGCTGGCGGTGGATAGTGATGTTTCTGCTGGATACGCCACCTTGTATTATAATGCGAATAGACATTGCGTCCATTTATATACATATATATGTATGTACATATATGTATCAAAATAGTAATAACAAATTGTAGCAAAAATATATTAATTTTAACCATATCGACATTTTTATAAGAAGCACAACATTCGCATCGAACACCACCATCGCCATCACCACACTACATACATATCGACAACTGCCATTTGCTGCTGTAATCGAAAAAAAAACAACAACAACAAATTCAAAATCAATGAATGGATGACATTGAAGGTTAAACACGTGCATAGAATTGTATTAGCTTCCACTAATGTATTTTTTTAATACTTATGTTTGTCTGTTTGTACTATTTTTTTACAAAATATTCATGAACATGTCATTTACATACAGAGGAAATAGAAAAATACATATTAATATTTTTTTGAATAGAGGAAAACGATACCAATTTAAATTTTTAAGAAATTTAATTTTTGTTAACAGTTTCAATATATTGAACATCAATTTCAATACAAAATATAAAAAATGTCAATACAAAATATAAAAGGTATATAAAAAATATGTAAATACTTCTAGATATTCATTTTATTTAGTTTAAAGAGAGTATATGTATTCTTCGTCTCCTCATGAAGATGGTCCACTGTGGAGTCATGAGAAGGCACCCTGGATGAGAAGGCAGGTCGGGATATTCATCCACTGTGTATCACTTACATACGAAAAACCACACTGGCGCCGCATAGCTTAACACTGACCCCGGCCTATTGCTTTATAAGAGGTCCCCAAAGTTTTTTTGTCAGCTCCCCAAGTGCTGCCGGCTTGCAGCGACTTGAGAACCTTGTTCCTACTTCTCAGCTTATCGCATAAAGCCGTGACTTGCGCAGACGACTTGAAACGGCTGTCGAACGTTACTCGCCGAATATCTTGGAGTAGTTGTCATCCGTGGTTCGTCTGTCTGGCTCGTGCGCACGATAACTCTAGAAGGGAATAATCGATTTCATCCAAACTTTGCACATCTTAATATTTCTTCGAAGATGGGACCCATTGGTTCACTCCTTCTGGTACCTCCCCCACAAAATGGTCAAAATTGTGCTAAAAATTAATTTTATAATAACATGCAAACCGACTATCTGATTTTAACGAAACTTTGTACAATCTATTATCTTTACCAAGAATATATCAAGTTTGAAGATGGGACCCATTGGTCTACTCCTTCTGGTACCTTACCCACAAATGGTCCAATTATCCACTCCTTCTGGTTTGAAATGTTCAATATTTATAAATCCAGTATCAGGTGAATGGAATGTCAGATTTGAACCAAACCTTGCACAACCTATTACCTTTACCAACCCTAGATCAAGTAGGAAGATGGGATCCAAAGATGGGACCCATTGGTCCACTAATTCTAGTACCTCCCCCAAAAATGGTCAACATTTTCTATATTTATAAACGCAATATCAGGCTAATGGAATGTCAGATTTAAACCAAACCTTGCACAACCTATTATCTTTAGTTTTTATCTAAATCCTATATACATAATATATATATATATATATATATATTTGCACCCTGTAAAAAACGCTTTGAAAAAGTTTATCTTTTTGGGTATAAAAATATCATAACATTTCAGCCAAAAAATGGCCTTGGCATACTTATACAAACGTATACTGTCTTGTTGTTGTTGTCGTCCTATATTTACAATGCAAATGCTGTGATTTTGGAGAATGGCATGTTTACTTAAAACAATTGTTTTATAAATTTGTTTGTTTTCTGTCGTTGATTGTTTATCTAATCAGAAATTCTAACAATTGTTGTTGCAACAACAGCATCACAAACCTTTTGCAGTAGCCTGTTTTTGTGTGTCATTATCTCATGTAACCTCCTCGGAACGTGATTGTCGACATAGTTGTTGTTTGTGTGTGTGTTTGTTTATGAATGTCTGGAATAAGAACAAAGTGTTGTAAGGTGTTGGTTTTTGTTGGAGAACTACTGGACACCACCAGACAACGATCCGCATAGCTCCTTTAGGTAACCGTATACGTATACATATATAAATACACAGAAAAGAAAACTATAAGCAATTACACAATAATGAAGAAAAGGGTGTATGGAGAGGATGTAGGTTAAAAATATGTCTGATGTTTTGTGTTTTTTTTTTATTATTCAAGGTTGTATTCATACACAGCCATCCCACCTTCTCTCTCCATAATTATGTATGTACATTGTACAACGTATATTAGTAACCCACCACCCATCACACCGCCTACTCCTCCAAATCATCGACTGTGTTGTTGCATATTTGCGCTCCTACTTTTTTTCAAAGTAGGTTAAGCAAATATGTATTCATGCAGATTTATTGTTTCAACACAAAACAAAACATATATACAACAACTATGATGATGATTATGAGGTTGTTGTTATTGTCTGTCACCACACTTCAGCCAAAACTGTGTCATCTTAAAAAGATTACTAGCCGGCTTTAGCACAGATTTCGTATTTGTTTGTTTGCTAATCATATTTCAAATGGCACACACACACCCTGACACATTTCTGAAATTTTCAGAACTCCCCGTGTTTCAATTTGAAACAGAAAATGATAAAGCAATAAAATGTTGCAATGTTAATGGCCCATTTTACAATTTTATACATATGAACTTAATTTAAAATCAATAAAAACAATTATATTGATTTTCGTTTGTTTGTTTTACTAATCAATCACCAAATGGTGAATGCGTTTTTGTTACTATGTATATGTATGTATATAAAATCACTATAATTGCCCGTCATTTACTTTGGGAATGCGTCAAATTCTCGTCGATGACTTATCTAGAATGTCCCAAGAAATTATCAAAATAATAACTGATGATAATTTCGAGTATCACTAATCTCAACAAAAATATAATTATTATTATAAATTAGGTTAGTTTTATACGTATATTTTCACGTCGAACCTGCCCTTGTCAATTTATTCGTAAAACTTAACATTTTCATCGGGGTATAGTACACGAACCGAACGTCTGCAAATTACATATAAAAATCGAATTAATATCTTACCGAATTTCGGAATCGGAATCATTAACGCTACTTTTGGTCGTCTAAACAATCCAAGCCAGTATATTCCCCTACGTTCTCATGAAGTGGGCATTCATTGGATCCAGACCAGTTTATGGCGAATTTTGTAAGGATTTTGAAATGATTGGAAATCTTTTAACAGGTTGAAACAGTTCAGGTTGAAACAGTTCAGAATATTCTACAAAAAATGTTTGCTATAAAATAGACCCAAACAAAAAAATTAACCTAAAAATCGTATATAAATGGAAATTAATTTTAGGATTAAAAATCGTACTATTAGCGGATTAGTACAGATTTTTCCAGAAATATCCTAACAAAAAAATTAACCTAAAAATTTTATATAAATGGAAATTAATTTTAGGATTAAAAATCATAATTTTAGCGGTTTAGTAGATATTTTTTCCAGAAATATCCAAATATCGATAAAATGCAGACACAAATTTTTTATACCCTCAGCTTTACGGTTATCTATGCCTGTAGAGATTTGCTTAAAAGGAAGCATATTAGGAAATTTAAGCTGCTTAACGGTGATCAGCCCTTGGTTGAAGTTCTTCTTCCTGATGGAACGAAAACTAGGTTCGAGCAGCAGGAACTTATTAATTTTGCCAATCGATCCCGAGATTCGCAGATGCGGAATGTATTGGATAATGATTGTGGGGCGGTGCAGTTTCCTGTTACATAGCCATGTGATGTATATTTATAATTGTTGATCTCATTTTTCTTAATTTTAATATTATTTTTCTTAAAACAATTATTTTATTTTTTTTTGAATTGGTATATTCTTTATTGTTTAATTTGTTATTCTTTTATTATTATTTTGATATGCATTCAATGTTTAATCGAACTTTAATAATTATGCTCCCCAGTCTCTTATTTAATTTTTATGTGCCCTGATGTGAATCTAGGGCCTATAATTAGCGATGCTCAATTCTTTACGCAGAACATTCATTGTGGTGATGGTAAGCTTACGTATGCCCATTTGAACTGTCAAAGCATTCGTCCGTCTAGATTCAATAACAAATTGGATGAGATAAAGTGTCTACTTGTTGGCAGTGGAATTGATTTTTTTGGTGTGACTGAGTCTTGGCTTAACTCAGC